GAACCTCACTGGGCTTCCATTCTGCAAAACTTCATTATTTCTGGTTGTGAAATGAGAAGCCAAGGCAGCTGACTTGAGCTATTAGCGAGGATGAAATATTGATGTGACGTAAAGTGGTTTGTAGGTACATTTTGTGTTGTTGTTTTTTTAAAACCTGGCCGGCGATGAAGAGAACAGGTTTCATTTTAAAGACGGATAAAACATTAAAAAAAAAACCAAAACACTGTTGGTTTTTTGCACTATTATTCACTTCTTTTTATTCTTTTATTCTTATTACGCTTCTGCTTCAGGCTTTTCACAATGAGCCTGCCTTCCGTTGAGGATCTGTCGTCCTCGACTTGCGAATACAATAGGGGCCGACGTTTCTGTTGCTAAGTGAAACATTCGTTAAAGTGAGTTTTGCTCCATTTTACGACCTTCCTTGCCGCAACTGCGAAGTTAGCAACCCGGTTGTTAAGTGAAGCTGGCTTCCCCGTTGACTTGGCTTGTCAGGAGGTCGCAAAAGGGGATCACATGATCCGGGGGGTGGGGTTGAATTTGCCCCTGTTTGCAAATTCATGCACGGAAGAGGAACTCGGTGAAATAAAGACGGAGTGGAAGGATGCAAAACATCTCGGCGATTGTGCTCATCTGGAACTCGTCTCCGTTGCCATGGTAACGGACCGCCTGGAACACTTCGGAGCATCTAAGGATGGGATCGGCCTTCGAATGGATGCTCTCCTTGGCTTCCGGCCCTCCTCAGCATGAATCCCCAGGAGAGCCCAGAAGGAGAAGCAGCAGCGAAAGGAGGGTTGGGAGACCGTGGTTGGGGGGGGGGGGTCCTTGCACCACATTTGCAAACTACAATTGTACAATCTTGATAGAATCAAGATCACGTGAAGTGTTAATGCCGCTTTATAAGGCCTTGGTAAGGCCACCCTTGAAATACTGCATTCAGTTTTGGTTGCCACAATAGAAAAAAAAAATGTTTTGAGACTCTAGAAAGAGTGCAGAAAAGAGCAACAAAGAGGATTAAGGGACTGGAGGCTAAAATATATGAAGAACGGTTACAGGAACTGGGTATGTCTAGGTTAATGAAAAGAAGGACTAGGAGAGACACGAGAGCAGTCTTCCAATATCTCAGGGGCTGCCCCAAAGAAGAGGGAGTCAAGCTATTCTCCAAAGCACCTGAAAGCAGGACAAGAAGCAACGGGTGGAAACTAATCAAGGAGAGAAGCAACCTAGAACTAAGGAGAAATTTTCTGACAGTGAGAACAATTAATCAGTGGAACAGCTTGCCACCAGAAATTGTGGGTGCTCCATCACAGGAGGTTTTTAAGAAGAAATTGGACAGACAGAAATTTATCTGAAATGTTGCAGGGTTTCCTGCCTGTGTATTGTATTGTATTGTATTGTATTGTATTGTATTGTATTGTATTG